CCCCCATTTTGGGCGAAAGGGGGGGGGGGGTCTCAATTGTTGCGAATTCAAAATGTATTTAATCACTTTCGCACCCCCCAGAGGCTTCCCACGAGGCCCCCTGGGGGCACAACCAGCGACACCCCTTCCATCAGGGGCACCGACAGCGCCACCCCTTCATCAGGGGCATGCCATCATCATCGTAAGCATCAGTTCACGGCACAGAAAAGGCCCCCCTGCCAACTGGGGGGCACGTGGCTGAGGTCGCTGCCGCAGGGGCAAGCATGTGAGTATAGAGGGCATTGCTTCTTCCGTCATTCCTCTCTCCGTTGTTATGTTTGTTCTTCGCCATGTTTCCATTCCGCGTCCGCGGAGTAGCAGCCGCCAGGCAGCGATGGCGATTGCAGTGGCAGTTGCAACCACCAGGCAGCGATGCCGATTGCAGCGCCTCCACCGCAGGACGGGGTTTCATGCATTTCGCCCGCGCGCGCCTCGCAGGACTTCGGGGGGCGGCCCCCCACGCGCGCGAACGCTGGGGCCGCAGCCCCCCCCCCCCCCGAACTGCCACGCTGGCGCTCTGACTGCTTGCCCTACAGGCCGAGAGGGGCAGGGAGGGGGAAAGGGAGAAGGGGGGCCGCACACACGCAGGCTGGGAAGGAGGGAGGGGGTCGTTGTAAATTGCAAATTTGGGGCGGCACCCCTCAGGGTGCAGCGAAGATGACGCGGGCTCCGCCCCCCGGCGGAGTTTGCGCAAGTCTCTCCGGCGGAGAAGGGGGAGGGGGCGAGCCTCCTGGAGGAGGAGGAGGCATGGGCCGCGGGCCGCAGCACCTCGACGACGCCAAGGACCCCCGCCACTCGAAGTAAGCAACGCCCTCTACACAGAGGCACGCGCTACCCCTCCCTCTTGCGCCCCCCCCCCCTTTCCCGCGGCGGCGCTTTGATGGGCCCGAGGGCCAGCCCCCAGCCGAAGAGGCCCAAGAGCACCAAAGGCGATTACATCCCCATGCCAGAGGGCGCGCTGCATCGCTCGGACAGGTTCACGCAGCGCCGGCACGGCGACGAGAACACGCGGGCCCACACCTGCCTCAGCGACAGTTGCCAGAGTCATTACAACCAGATGTCTGGTCGCCGCTGGCGCGGCAATCGCCAGGAGGCAAAGCGAGAGGAGTCGCGCCCTCAGTTCTGGAGGGGGGGGGGGGGCAGGAGGAGGAAGGAGGAGGAGGGAGAGGCAGCCCTCTCCCATAGAGGCGCCCACGAGGAGGAGGAGGGGGAGGAGGGGGGGGGGGAGAGGAGGTGGAGGAGGAGGAGGAGGAAGAGGAGGAGGAGGAGACAGACCTCTCCCATAGAGGCAGACCTCTCCCATAGAGGCACAAATCGTCGGCCTCAGGCGGCGGCAAGCTCGCTGCGAGAGGAAGGCCGCGGAGGCGCGCTTGCAAGCAGAGGCAGCCGCTCTGGGTAGCTGAATGCCCCTCTTGCCCAGGCCCCCTCGTATGGTTTTCAATATGATGTGCGGCAGCGCACACTTACGCGCGCGCCCTCTTCCGCAGAGGCAGCGCAATTTTTCTAAGCAAAAACTGTAAACCATCGTTTCTAATGATGGCAACAGCTACCCAGAAGAGCTTCCCACAGAGGCTGCAGCCGCAGCAGCAGCATCAGCAGGCGCGCTATCAGAACACGGAGCGCCAGCAGCTGCAGCGGGAGCCGACGCTGCACCACCGCCGCCGCCAGGAGCCGAAGCAGACCTGCCAGGAACAACAGGGCAGCAGCCACAGACGCCGCCACGAGCAAACCTGCCAGGAGCAGCTGAACAGCCGCCGCACGCGCTCTTCGGGGCAGCGCCCTACCAGCAGGCGCCACTAGACCCGCCCAAGCCTAAATGGCAGCCGCCAGGACCTCCACCAGGGGCGCCGCGGCGGATGCCTCAACCACCTGCGGACCCCCCTACAGCAGCGCAGCTCATGCTGGCACGGCCGAAAGCCGCGCCGGCACAAGCAGACGCAACAGGAGCTGCAGCGGCAGCAGGAGCCGACGCTGCACCGCCAGCAGCAGCAGCATCTGCAGCAGCAGCAGGAGCTGCAGCGGCAGCGGGAGCCGACGCTGCACCGCCAGCAGCAGCAGCAGCAGCAGCAGCAGCAGGAGCTGCAGCGGCAGCGGGAGCCGACGCTGCACCGCCAGCAGCAGCAGCAGCAGCAGCAGTAGCAGGAGCTGCAACAGAACACGGAGCGCCAGCAGCTGCAGCGGGAGCCGACGCTGCACCAGCGCAGCCGCAAGATCAGCAGCCGCAGCAGGCGGCAACCGCCGACGGTGACGAAGGATCGGCGACGGAAGCGAGCAGCTGCGCCACGAGGTCGCCTCCGCCACCGCCGACACTGGCAGAGCTGCAGGAAGGGCATGCGAGGGCGGGTCAGCTGCTGCAGAGAGCCGCCGAAGCGGCTGCGAAAAGGGATCACGCTGAGTTCATAGCTGCCCGCGCCAGAAAGTTCGAAAAGAACCAGAGAAAGAATGCAGAGGCAGCAGCCGCGAAAACGGAAGAGGCCGCAGCAGCGCTCCAGCACGCAAAAGACAAACAAGAAGCAGCAGCAGCGGAAGCGCGCGCAGCCGCAATCCTGGCCGCAGAATACCAAGACGCGGCGGTGGACGCAGCAGAAGCCGCGGAAGCGGCAACTGGCGAGGCAGAGGGAGCTGCGCTGCTTGAGGAGCAAGAAGGGGGCGGCACCGCGCCAGGAAGCACCTCGGCGCCATCGGGGGCGAACGCGCCCGAGGCAGCGGCGGAGCCGCGCGACGCGAACGCGCAGGAGCAGCCGACAAACGAGGAGGAGGAGCGCGGCGAGGAGAGGAAGAAGAGGAGGAGGCGTAAGCTCCCACATGACTGGCGCGGCAAGAAAGAGAACCAGCCTGGCGGGAAGGGTTCCTCTGGCGAGGGCGGCGGCGCAGAGGGCGGCGGCGCAGACCAGCAGGAGACAGCAACCTAGGAGACCCTGGGCAAATAATTTGAGGAGGAGGGCGGGGGGGGAACGAAAACGCTCAGAAGACATATAATTATTGAAATGTTCCAACGCGCGTGAAGACGGGGATCCCGTGATCCCCTCCCTGGCCCGACCAGAAAATTATCACGCGGACGGCCCCGACCCCAAAGCTGTAGCACATAAATTATTATTTGCACGCTGTGGACGGATGATCAGAAGGAGGAGGAGGGGGAGGAGGAAGAGGAGGGGGATTGCAACGACGACGAAGTTGTTGACTCATTGATTCCCACAGGAGCGGCGCACTTCAATGCGAAGGCCTGAGAGATGCCATGCCGCATCTTGCGGTTGTACATGCACCATGATTATTGATTAGCACGGAAAGGTTTAACCGCGCTCAGCAACCATATCAGAGGCATTCGACCTCCTTTTGACTTGTAAGTGATACAGGTCCTCTGTCGTAGAGGCGGAAACACGCACTCATGAGTTCAGCCTGAACGATACATATTGTGAACATAAAAGTCACGCACTGCAGTAATCTCGCGACGCCAGGGTCTTAAGACGCATGCGTCTTAAGACTCTTTACTGTCTTGCAAGTAGAGTATTAAGACTCTTGCGTTTTAAGACTCTGGTGTCGCCTGTCTGATGCGTACGATGAGTGTTTGCGTGCATTGCAGTATGGGTCTAAAATGCCTCTTCTTGTAGTGGGATTAAGAACACGAGCGCACGTGCTGCGAGTACGAAGGCAATCATGAATACGCGCACGGGCAACAGTACGCGTACAAGTACGATGTTGATTCGGAGTGCGAGTGCATGAGTACAGCGTGTACCACTACAAGTAGAAGTAGTAATGCGATTGCAATACCGATTAGGAATGTGGACAGGGGTATGAGTACACGCGTGAGTATGAGCACACCTAGGAGTGCGAGTACAAGTGCAAGTCCACGCACGAGTACAACGCGCGCAAACATGGGGGCACGCGCACACGAGCGCCCAAGGACTGGACGAGAACGAGCATGAGTGCAGTAAGAGCAGGGATGACATGGCATGAGAGGCGTAGGAGTAGCAGGGGGAAAGCGCATAGGAGCAGAACCCGCATTTTGCTTACAAGTAGCGCGGTCCCCTGCACGAGGGGATTCGCGATCAGCGCGCGCTAGTTGCGGCGGGGCCACTTTCGGTAGGGGCAGTTTCGTTGCAGGTGATGCGCGGACGCTGCCCCTTATCAGCAGGGGTCATGCTTGCGTGGCCCCTACCATCAGGGGCCTCCGCATTGCCCCGCGCGCCGCGAAAGCAGCACGGGCAGGCCCCTTCCAGCAGGGGCCCCGACAGCAAGCAGAGGCTGATGCCCAGCGTCGCATCCTCATTGTCTACTGCTGTCCTTTCTTTCGTCCACGCCCAACCACCCCCCTCATGCGTTTTCTCTACGCCGCAGCCACTTTTGCTCAGTCTCGGCGAAGCTTTTGAGCATTTCGTTTTCAGAGGTTTTAGATTAACATGGCAATTGCCTTGATTGCGCCTGTGAACACTGTCCTTCTTGCGCGGTGCATCCCAGCGCGCGTCCCTGAGAAGAGGCAAATCGCAGTGCCTGGCGAGAGCATGGACGCGAAAGCGGTCGACCGGATGAGGTCGCGGTTGCGCCGTCGCAAAGACCCAACGCAAGAGGGCCACGAGAAGGCGGTGGCCGCCCTGAGCGTCCTGGAGAATCTGCAAGACCTTAAACAGAGGAGAAGTTTCTTGGCCTCTTTCGACGTTGACAAAGAGAAGAAGTTGCATTGGGTGAAAAAATATTGGAGTCACGTGAAAACGCACAGGAGCGCGTTGCGGGGAGTTCAAAAGGGTATCAGACAGTGCCCGGATTTCTGAAGTATAAGGTTTTGAGCATGGGCGATTTTTAAGATCATAACGAGGCGTGGGAGTACGTTAAGAAGCAGTGGACGAAGAATTCTCGAGAGTTCCAAACGGCGGAGAAGTTCCCGCCCATCCTGGGCGACCTCATCTTCGAGCACGAGTATTACTTCATCCACCAAGAGCTGGAAAAAAAGATTCGCTCATCGCCAGGGACTCGGAGAAGTATGCTGCGAGCGCTGACGTCGGGAAGAAGGGCATCGAGGGCGCCATGGGTTTCCTGGCTGTGGGCAACGGCGATTCTCCGGGGAGTGGCGATGTCAAGATCAAGCTGGAGAGCCCCCTCTGGCCGGACACTCTCAAGTTCAAGGACGCTTTCCTGTCGGGGCCTTAATGCACAGGCAGGAAGGAGGGGAGGAGCGCGAGGAAGGATATGCGCAATCAGCAAGGGGAAGGGGGGAGGGGGGCGCGCCGAGGTCGCAACAGCGGAAGCTGAACCCCATCCTGGCGGCGCTGAAGAAGCAGACGGCGCAGCTCAAAGCGAAGGCAGAGGACCCCAGCGAGAAGGACAAGACCCAGTATCAGAAATGGGCTGCCGACGCAGAGAAGGCGCAAGCGGCGGCTGCCCTTTGCCACCAGGATATGGAGAATCTCATTGCTATCATCGAGCGCACCGACTCCGTGGCTCACGACAAGGCCCACTATCAGAATATGGTCAAGAAGTTGAGAGAGAAGGATGAAGAGTTTACCGCAATGGTCGAGGGCGCACGCATCGCGAGGATGAAGCTAGCAGAATACCTCGCCTGACATGTTTGCGTGGCTGGTGTATAGGACGGCGGTTGTTTGGAAGTGGAGGTGGAAGAAATTCGCGACGCTGTACTCGGACATCAAAGTGACCGTACAGCGCCATTGATCATCGCATCAACACGACTTGGCTCGCCCCTCCCAGCAGGGGCAAGGATTGCAGGCAAACCAGGACTGCCATTTATGCTACACGTGCGTATCTTGATGGCCCCCCGCAGCAGTAGCCAGCATTTCAAGCAGCGGCAGCAGCAGGAACCTGGGCACGATCGGAGACAGCAGCAATTGCAGAAGGAGGGGGGCCGGGGAGGAGGAGGAGGAGGAGGAGGAGGATCAGGAGGAGGAGGAGGAGGAGGAGGGAGGAAAAGGAGGAGGAGGAGGAGGAGGAGGAGGAGGATCAGGAGGAGGAGGAGGAGGAGGAGGAGGAGGGGCGGCGAAAAACGATGGCACATTGCAGACAAAGGCCCTCACTCAGGTAAGACGATTGATTCCGCATGGCAGCTGTTTCGGCTCTAGCGCCCCCATGGGTTGTTCGCTGAAGATGCTATCGAAACGAAGGCTGCCATTCGATCGCGAGAACACACCAGCTGACAAGAGGCTGCGCGAGAACCCAGCTGATTTGGTTTCCAGGAGCGCCATATCAACGAACCGAGGGCAGCAAATCGTGAATGATACACACGCAGCAGGGGCTTATCACCTGGGCGACTGGGCTGGCTCGGAGGCCGTGGGGTCTGGCAACGCAGCGGCTCGCATGCGGCGGAAGATGGCGAAAGGCAGGGGCTGGCCATCGCTTTACGAATGCACCGTGCGAGGGTGTTGTCCCAAGCGCAGGCACGAGCAGCCAATGAAGTGCCACGCGCTCCTCCTCCACGAGGTCGTGGACAAGCTGTTTTTTTGTTTGCGACATGAATGTCATCAAAGACCAAAGTGGGTTTGACGCTGTCACGGCGCGACACGTGCGGAACGCAAGTGCCCAGCTTGGGGAGGCGCCTCTTGGCGTGGGCCTCTGGCAGCATGGTGTACCTTGTTATTGGGATCGGAGCATCAGTTGCGATATGTTGCCATTGCTCTTACCGGGCCTGGACAGAGAGCACCGCGATGTCAGGCGCCCCTTGGTTGCGCCTCTGAACACACACGTGGGCCCGAACACGTGCCATGATAGATTCGAGGTGATGCGCTGGTCGCTGGCTCTTATGGCTCGTAAAGAGTGGCCTGATAGGAGACGCGATGGTTGCGCGCGGCTACAGAGCGATTTGTATAGGAGAAAAAAAGCTGCGACGCAACCCCTCTACCCGACGAGCGCCATTTTGGTACAGCTGAAAAGGAGATTGGAAAATGTGGAAAGAAGTTATGAAATTACCTGGCTGGCACGATGCGCAAGGTTGCTGTTTCATGTGCCACATCAAGCCAAACGAGACCAGCGCGTTGCAAAACTACACCCTTCCTATTCTTCGTTCCCATTCATGTCACTGCCGCCGCCCCTTTGCCAACGCCGCCCCTTCTCACCTCTCCCCCGTTCTCTTTTCCCATCCCCCTTCCCATTCCCTCTCTCCTCCCCTCCCTCTCCCCTCCCCACCTGCCCCTTGCACCCCAGCCCCCCTCTCCTCCCCTCCACCCCCTAGCCTTTCGCTTCTCCACCCCTCCTCCAACCTCGACTTCCCCCGCCGCCGCCGCCGCCGCCGCCGCCGCCGCCGCCGCCGCCGCCGCCGCCGCCGCCGCCGTCGTCGTCGTCGTCGTCGTCGTCGTCGTCGTCGTCGTCGTCGTCGTCGTCGTCGTCGTCGTCGTCGTCGTCGTCGTCGTCGTCGTCGTCGTCGTCGTCGTCGTCGTCGTCGTCGTCGTCGTCGTCGTCGTCGTCGTCGTCGTCGTCGTCGTCGTCGTCGTCGTCGTCGTCGTCGTCGTCGTCGTCGTCGTAGTCGTCGTCCTCGTCGTCCTGGTCGCACCCCTGCCCCAGTCCCTGTTTGTTGACCTGCCTAGGTGTCCTCGCAGATCGGCAGGGACGCGCTTTTGGAGGACTCAGAGACGCTCGTGGTCAAACCTGCTGCAGACGATCCTTGCGAATGGTCAGGCAGTGTGCCCTTTGTTTATGACCCCTTTCGTCAACCTGGACGTATTGCGCCTGGATTGGCTGCGCGCCGCAGACCAAGGCGTTTCTGCAGATTGTATTGGCGCACTGTTGTGGCATGTACAAGGAAAATTGCCAGCTAGGAGCATCGAGAAACGGTGCGATCTGTTTTGGGATAAGATCACGGCGCGGTACGACCGCCGACAAGTTCCGAATCGGCTGCACGCCTTCACGCGGTACACGATCAAGAAGAAACAGGGGCATCCTATGCTGAAGTGCGGTGCAGGGATATGTAGGGCACTCGCCACGTTTGCTGTGGACGTGGCGGGGAAAGTACTGGACGCGAACGACCCGATTGAGAGCACCATGATCTGCGCAGCGCGCTCGTTGAACCACTGCTATGGAGCCCTGCAGGCTGAGCACTCATTCCAAGACGTCGTGTTACAGGAACACTCCACCCGATTTTGTTTGTTGTTTGCTGGATTGGCACAGGCCCTCCCTGCTACGTTCAAGATCAGGCCGAAGCTGCATCAGTTCTTGGAGCTGTGCCATTCAGGTGGCTCGCCGTCCAAGCATTGGAACTATCGCGACGAAGACTTCGGAGGCAGCGTGTCTGCATTCGCGCGCAGGAGGGGGTCATCGATGACCCTGGGGGGCTTTTCTAGAGCGACCCTTGAGCGTTTTCGGGTTCAGCTCATGGTCCGCCTCGTGGCGCGCTCGATGTAACCCCCATTCTTTTTTTACCTCACCTGCCTCTCTTTAGTCGGGAGAGCGGTGGCGGAACCGCTTGCACGAGGGCCAGCGAACCCCTCCTGAGGCATTGAACGGCCTCAAGGCACACTCCCTCCCACACCGTTAACAAAGCAGCGCGTGCAGTGCCCCTCCCCCTGCCGCCCTCGTGCCATCTCTCCTGCCCCGCTTCCTCGCTCGTGTTGCTCCGATCCACAGCGCTTCTCAAGGCAGAAATCTAGAGGGACCCTGGCCTCTGACGTAAGCCCCCTCTGTGCAAGGGGCCTGCCTCTGCCACGAGAGGCGACTGGGGCTGCTCATCGCGGTTTATGTAAGTAAAAAAAACACCTTAACATTAGACACCTTAATGAGAGTGTCTAATTTTCACATTGGATTAGAGTGTCTACTTAATTAGAGTGGCTGAAATTAATTAGAGTGTTTTCAATCCTCAAGGAAGCGTCCGTCAACCCCGAGCGGGCGGAGGCAGCGAACTCAGGCGCGTCGCAGGCCCAAGAGCCCAGGGGCACCCCGAGCTGGATGGGGCTAGCAGGCCAGCCTCAGGGGCGCCCAGGATGGCCGCGGAGAAAGGAAACCTGCAGCCCAACGTCCAGAGTCGGGGGGGGTGCCAGTGACCTCATGCGCATGACTGGGGCAACGAGGGGGGAAGCCGTGAGAGGCCGACGCAGTGCGGGGGTGCCCCATCTGCAGAGCCTATCTACAGGGCCAGCCAGAGCGCGACGGGCAGGCCGGCCGGCCAGAGGGCGACGGGCCGAGGGGGGTTCCCTGCGGCCTCGCGCGCCAGAGCAATGCCGCCGAGCACCGACTGCGACGATCCCGACCATCGTCGTCACCGAGGGGGAGCCGGCGGCAGCGGAGTCGTGCTGGCAGTTGCGCGGCATGTTCCGCGGCGGCTGCGACGAGGAGCAGCGTGGCAGGCGGAGGCGGCGCTCGCAGCTTCAGCAACCAAGCCCCGGCCGGCCCGGTGGTCTCGAGCAAGAGACGACGGTGGGGGCTGAGGGGCCCCGCAGCGGCGCGGGGGCGGGCGCAGGAGGGGCGACCCGGCGCCGAGGGCGCAACGCCGCAAGTGGCCCGAGTGAGAGCGAGCTGGGGGGCCAGGGGAGGGCCGGCACCCCCAAAGGGCGCTCGCGGGGCGGTATTAGGCACGAGGCCGGGGCGGCCGCAATGCGTGGCCACGGCTGGGGGGGAGGAGAACGACTGACAGTCGCAGCGCACGGTATGGGAGTCGGAGGGAAGCGACTGACAGTCGCAGTGGACGTAAGCAGTGAGTGCGGGGGCAAGGGAGTCGGAGTCGGAGGGAAGCGACTGACAGTCGCAGTGGACGTAAGCTGTGAGTGCGGGGGCAAGGGAGGTGGGCGCGACTAACAGTCGCAAAGTGTGTGTGTGTGTGGGAAAAGCTAAGTCAGACAGGGAAGCCAGCGTGTGGAATGCCGCTGCAGTAGCGTAGCTAGCAGTACGGGTCCCTCCAGCCAGGGCGAGGAAGACACCTGGGACCCCAGGGTGGCGCCTGGGGCGGGCCGAGGGGGGCGGCACTACGCGAGAGAGCGAGAGGCCACAAAGGAGGGGCCCAGGAGCAAGGGTCTCCTGGGGGCCAGGGGCGAGCCAGCATTCCCAGCTGGGCGCGTCCGAGGCGGTATTAGGCGCGAAGCCAGGGTGGCCCACCAGGGGGCCCCCAGTAGGGTTGGCGCAGGTGGGAGGTAGGCGAGTCATGAGACGCCTGGGCCTGACTTCATCGTTAGGTGGCACACGATGGCTGGCGCCCGTTGGGCGACAGCGGCGACGGCAGAGCGATAAGGCAGGCACTTCCGTCGGGGCTGTCGGAAGCGTGCCCCGGGGAAGAGAAGGTCCCGCTGTCGCAGACGGGGCCCTGTGAGGGCGGAGGTGTGTGGGAGGGGGCCTACTGTTACGCCCAGGGCTGGTGGGAGCTCGCGGCCCGCCTGGAGTCCCCTTGGCTTGCCCGGCGAGAGGCACCGTCGTCCCATTGCCCTTTGCCTCTGCCTTTGGTCGGGGCACCTTTAGAATTAGCACGGCTGGCGAACTTGTCGCGGACAGCCGGCCAGTTGACCTGGAGCTGCAATGCCTCGTCCATCTCCATTGGGTGTCAGTTATGCTGATGCCACGCCCAGAGGAAATCCTCGCAGGACCCGGGATCCTGCTT